CTGGGCCCCGCGGGGAGGGGATGCGAATGGCATGTTAGCAACGCAGGCCCCAACTCCCAGGATTTCCCTTAGTGACTTGTGCTTTCACTGACACACGGGGCCTGCGCTTGGGCCCCCTGAACCTTCCGGGCACACTGAACCCACCCCATTCCCTGACTCACTGACCTCTAAAACCCCCATTACTGCTGACTCACTGACCCCCCAATCCCCCAGCACCGCCCTGACTCACTGCCCCCAGATCCCCCCAACTCACTGACCTCTAAAACTCGATATCCCTGACTCACTGACCTCTAAAACCCCCATTACCGCTGACTCACTGACCCCCGAATACCCCAGCACCACCCTGACTCACTGCCCCCAGATCCCCCCAACTCACTGACCTCTAAAACCCCTGACTCACTGACCCCCCAGTCCCCTGGAACTGCCCTGACTTACTGCCTCTGATCCACCCAATTCACTGACCTCTAAAACCCCCAATCCCCCTGAAACACTGACTCTCCCCCCCCCCAGTCCCCTCATATTGCCCTGGCTCATTGAGCCCCACCCACATCCCTGATCCCCTCAGACTCACTGACCCCTCCAATCCCCCAAGGCTCACTGACACCCCCCGATTCCTCCATCCTGGCTCACTAACCCCCCAGTCCTCTGACCCCCTGTCACGGATCCACAGGATCAGTGCTACGCCTCCAGCTTTTGAACAGTCTGGTGGAGGAACCCCTTAGGGGTTCTCATTCTTCCTTCTGGGCAGGCCACGCGGTCTCAGAGCCTCCTGAGACTGACCCTCTGGGCCTTCAGCACCCCTGCTTCACCCTGTGAGCTCTGCTCAGTGAGTCTGACTGACAGACCCCTGGTAGAGACTTGTGCACTTGTCAGGGACTCAGCCAGCATTGGTAGTGACGCTCACGCAGTGTTGTCAAGACAGTGGGGTTTATTAGTCAACTGGAACGCAGCATAGGAAGTGCTTAGGTTAGCACAGTGCACTGAAGGTTAAAGCAAAATCCTCTGTGGTCAGCCCCGAGCAATTCACCAGCTCAGCTGTCGAGAGCTCCATTTTTGGGCTCTGGGTCTCTCTCTGACTTCCTCAGTCAGTTCCCAGGTGAGAGAGCCCCAAGCTTCCTCCATAACCTACATCTCCCGCCTTTCCAGCCTTTGTTCTCAAGCTGCTCAGCTTCCCTGCTGAGAGGCGGGGAACTCTTCCTCTGGGTGGTTGGTTGCTAGGTGTCAGCAGCCCGGCGTTTGGGCTTTCCAGTGTCTTCTCGGGTTTTCCAGTGATATGGGTCAGCCTAGGCCAGTCCTTTCTCAGACTCATTCAGTCTGCTCAGACAGCTCGGCAACACATACGCACCCCTGTCTGTTAGCTGCCCTGAGAGCAAATTTAATCCTTTCCCCCCCACTCCCCACAGGGTAGCAATGCAAAGTATAGGGGAAATTGAGGCATGCACAGGCTTCATAAAAATATTACCCAAAATTCCCACTTTGTCACAAAGGAAGTTATCTGGGGGGCCGCAACCCTCTGCTCTGGGAGAGGTGTCATCTCCTCCTGAGGTTCCTTCCACACCAGCCCCATGGGGCTTCCCTTTTTACCTGCATTTCCCCAGCACGCCCCTTCTCCCCACCCTAGTCTGCAGCTGCTCCCTCCACCCACCGCGCATATCATTCTCTCCCTTGCTGGGGCTTCGGAGAAACAAGAGGGAGGATTGTGGCCAAGTGTGGTGTCAGCACCCTCCCGGCCAATACTGAGGACACTGCTGTTTCCTGGGATTGATGGACTCATCTGCTGGCTGATTTATAGCAGGGCTTGGCTGCAGGACACCATGGTCCACTTCCCCGCCCCTGAGTGGCGGATGCCTTGGCTGTGATGGCAGAGGCAGGAACGGGCGGAGGAAGGAGAGGCATCGTGGGGTGCTGCCCTGAAGGACAGTGCAGGGGGTCGCCCCAGGAGGAGAGAGGGGGCTGATGAAGCTTGCTGCAGGAATGTGACGACCGGCCCGTTTATTGGCTAGGAACTCTGCCTACGGATGAGCCAGGAGCCAAGGCACGGAGATGGGAGAGCTGGGGTTGGGAAAACCTCTCCCATCCTGTGCCCTTTACCCTTGGGAGTGCGAAGCTGCTGTTCCTTTGCGTGGGAGGGGGACTGCATAGGGATCCAGCATGAGTAGAGGCCAAACATGGGGGGGCCACAGGGGACTAGTGTGCCATGGTGTCCCCCAGCCCTTACAGGCACACCTTGTCCTCGTCCCCCCTCCCCACCAGCCACCGCCTTCTCTTCCAGCCGGATCTGACTAGCATGGGACGGGGCTCCTCTGCACAAGTCATGTTGGCCGAGCCAGGCTTGCCTCTGCAAGAGAGGAACCTTGGGCCTGTCCTGGGTGCTGCCTCCCCTTCAGCTGTGCAGGCACCACCCTGCACCAGTGTTCGGGTGGCTCTGCACCCCAGAGCTGGCCCGGCGACTGGAGCGTGGGAGCTTGTGGCAGTTCCCGCTTTGCTGTCAGTTCCAGCCAACATAATGAAATGGGCTGAAGCCAGTAGCAGCGCGCCAGGGCTAAACAGAGTCTGGGCACTGCATCCATGGTGAAGAGGGGTGGGGGGTTGCATTGGGGACAACTAGCCAAGGGGAGGTTGCCAAGCCAAACAGTAGCAAAGGTAGAGGTACTTGTGTGTGTGAGAGAGAAACCCAGTTCAGTTCTTCCCCTCCCCGCAAGGGGCTGCTCCCACAGTCCACCTGAGGGTGTGTTGGGAGCCTTGCTCCTGGGGCTGTCTCTGGAAACTACATTTGTCTGTCTGTTTATCCCGTTCCCTTGTGTTTGTGGAGCTGGCTGGGTGCGTGCAAGCAGGGAACCCAGAGGCCATGCTAAGGGAGAGAGAGGGCCAAAGAGAACAGCGTAGGGGTGCGGGACAGCAAAAACCTCTCAGATGGACCTAGGTAGGGAGACAGCCAGCTCCAGTGGGAGGTGGGGAAGAGCGCTAGGGAGCGACAGGAGCAAATCAGCAGTGACCCAGTTGGGGCCAGCTGAGTCTCCTTCCCTTGACCCACAGGGGGATGCCGAGTCAAGGCATTATTTATTATTACATTAAGACTTGAAGACAAGAGGAGCCAGACCTTGGAACCCAGCACCACTGGCTACAGCACAGTCCCTGGCCACAGCAAACCTGCACTTCAGCCAGGGGCCGTTGCATGATGGTAACAGGCGGAATAAGGGTGGAGGCCTCAGCCAGGCAGCGGTGGGGAAGGGGTCTTTTCCTCCCTCTTGTTGCTTGGATCCCGATCAACCTCTGCCCTTGCCCCACTCCTTCCTCCCCCTGCCCTCCCCTTTGGCTCTTGGTTTTCCTTTCTGGGTTATTGAATATGTAAATGTCTCTCTCTGACACCATCTCTGATCCCTTAATCCGGCTGCCCTGGTAATTCTGCAGCCCCAGATCAGCTCAGATCTCTCCACAGACATAAGCCTCCTCCTTCAAGGGTTTGCGTTTCTTCTCCGCTCCCCCCCCCCCCAGCCACCTCTTCTTTCTTTCTGCCCTTCGGGTCTCTGCACTGGAAATTGGTTGGGCTTTAGCAGCAAAGGGTTTAGCAATATCTTTAGTGAGCGTCCCTGGAAAAAAAAAGAAGAGTGAAGACAGAATCCTTAATCTTAAATAACTAAGATGCATTTTTTTTCTCTTATTTCGTATAGCTCCCCCTTCCCGTGCCCCAGTTGGAGAATGGGAATGTCTCCTTAGCCCCCAGCAGAGGGCACTGAGCCAAGGCTGGGGATGCACTGAGAGCAGAGTGGGAGAGGGGGTCAGTGGGCGAATGGGGATGTGTCAGCAGGGGGTGCTCCTGCGTGGAACGGAGAAGGGCAGATCGGGCCAGAGAAGGGAGACTGCAAATGACTCCTTGGCACCAGCAGGGGATCTCTCACAAGAGAGGGGTGTGTTGGCAGCCCCTGGGAAGAGGTGACTCCAGGATGGAGCAGGGAGGATGTTGGCTTGGCGTCAGTAGGGGGTGCTATTTTCCAGGTTAGGATGACTCTCCGAGCCTGAGAGTGGGGGGGACAGCAATGTTTCCCTGCCACCAGCAGGGGGTGCTCTCCCACGGTGGGGTAAAGCGGCTGATGATCCTTTCCCTTCATCCTAATGAAGCTGGCTAGATTCTTTAACCAGCCTGGGCAGGAAATAGTTTGGTCCTCCTCCCTGGCAGTAGGCACCACGAGAGCACAAATAAATAAAATTAATAATACAGCACATGCTGCCCACACCACACTGGGGTGCAGCTCTGTATACCTGTCCTATGCCAAGTAAAGCAGCCAACCGTTGCTGGAGGGCTCTGACTGACAGCCCCCATCCGCCCTGTGCCAACACAGCCCTCTGCTCCAGCATGGGTGTCCGGCGCTCACAACCCCCTCTCCCCCGGTTCCAGACTTCCCTCTCTGAGCCCTGCTTGCAAAGGCCGCGTTGTCCCCAACCCTCGCCTGCACTGAGACGAGGGAATTATTTTCGGAACGAGAGCGGTTATGCAACCAATGAATTATTTATCATTTTGCATCAAGGAAAAAAACCCCATTTAGTTGGGATTCTTATTTATTTATCGTCAGTACGCGCGCACGTTTGTGTACTGCGCGATTTCCGTTCTCTACACCAGCTGAAACTCCTTGGAGTTGGGTTGGCTTGGGTTGTGTTTCTTTATGCTCTGGAGTTTTAAGCCGATCATAACACAGCCGTGTCCCTCCCTCTGTTCCATCCCACCTTTCCTTTCCCCCCACCCCCGCAACCAGGCTGTGATTCCATTACATAATGAAACCCAAGTACCCTTCTAGCTATCACCGATACAAGATTATGTTGCAAGGGATCCCTTTGCCAAGGCTTATCAGTGTAGCAGGCAATACCACCTCCCCCCACCCACAACGCTCTCTTTTCTGCTCCTCCCTGTCCCCAAGAAACTAACAACCCTAGCTGTCTTTTTCTGTATTTCAAAGCCCCCTTGACTGATGCCTCCACTTGTCTCTCATGTGTTTCCTTTCCAGATTCCGGAGACAGATGGATCGCTCGCTCGCTAGCTCTCTAGCTCTCTATATTTTTGTTTTCAAGATGTTTGATCTGAAGTTCTGAAGCATCTCGGAGGGGACCCAGGAGAGGGGGAGGAGGAGCAACCCAGGGAGCCCAGCGACAGAAGAGGCAGCTCCTCCGAGACACCTGGGGGTCGTGGGGGAAGGCGGAGAGGGTGTGGGGAGGTGTCGTTCCTGAGCCTCCAGGAAGATTAGTTGTTTAATTTTTGTTTTGTTTTAAAGAGAAGCACAGATTTCCGCTCGCCCCCCCCTTTTCCCCCGATTGGGAGTGGCAGGAAGGAGTGGATTTTGCCCCCTGCTGCTCTACACCCCGGGGTTGGCGCGGAGAGAAAGAAAAATGTTGGTGACAGCACCGGATAGAACTGAGGTGCCTGTGCCCTCCTATCGCTAACCACCAAGGGAGCGTCGCCTCTCGTCCCCTCCCTTTGCTCTTCGGAGGCTCGTTTTCCTTTTTGCCAGCAGGGGGAGGGGGGGTGCCGCATCCGAACATGCTGCTTCTGGGCTTGTGGGCAGCTGCCCTGCTCTGCGTGTTCTCCCCTGGCATGGTGCGTGGCGACTGCTGGCTGATCGAGGGGGACAAGGGTTACGTGTGGCTGGCCATCTGCAGCCAGAACCAGCCTCCCTACGAGACCATCCCCCAGCATATCAACAGCACAGTGCACGACCTGCGCCTGAATGAGAACAAGCTCAAGGTGGTGCTATACTCCTCCCTCAACCGCTTCAGCAACCTCACCGACCTGAACCTGACTAAGAATGAGATCTCCTACATTGAGGACGGGGCTTTCATGGGCCAGGCCAACCTGCAGGTCCTGCAGCTGGGCTACAACAAGCTCACCAACCTGACGGAGGGCATGCTGCGCGGCATGGCCCGGCTGCAGTTCCTCTTCGTGCAGCACAACCTGATCGAGGTGGTCACACCCACCGCCTTCTCTGAGTGCCCCAGCCTGATCAGCATCGACCTGTCCTCCAACCGGCTGAGCAGGCTGGAGGGGAACACCTTCACCAGCCTGAGCAACCTGATGGTGTGTGAGCTAGCTGGCAACCCCTTCAACTGTGACTGTAGCCTCTACAGCTTCCTCACCTGGCTGGTGGTCTTCAATAACGTCACCAAGAACTATGACCGGCTGCAGTGTGAGACCCCCCGAGAGTTCGCCGGCTACCCGCTCCTGATGCCTCGACCCCACCACAACCGCAACGCCATCACCATCTTCCAGTCCATGTGCCGGGGAGGCACCATCCCATCCCTCTCAAGGATCAACCCCACCCCCTACACTCCCGACTCCCAGAGAGACCTGGATGAGAACTCGGGGTTCAACCCCGGGGACTTCCTCTCCGTCGAGCCCCCAGCCTCCTCCACCACCGACTCCTCATTCAACCCCAGCATCAAGCTGCACCACGTAACCATCACCTCAGCCACCTTGGTGGTGACGATCCCCTCGCCCTTCAGCAAGATGTACGTGCTGGTCCAGTACAACAACAGCTACGTTTCTGATGTCACGACCCTGAAGAACAAGAAGGAGTTTGTCACCCTTAGCAAGCTGAAGGCCCACACGGACTATACCTTCTGTGTGGCCTCCATCCGCAACTCCAAGCGCTACAATCACACCTGCCTGTCCTTCGCCACCAGGAGCAAGGGGAGGGAGGACCCAGTGCCCAATACCTCCACCACCACTCATTACATCATGACCATCCTGGGCTGCCTCTTTGGGATGGTCATCGTCCTGGGGGTGGTGTACTACTGCCTGAGGAAGCGAAGGATGCAGGAAGAGAAGCAGAAGTCCCTCAACGTCAAGAAGACCATCCTGGAGATGCGCTATGGCTCGGATATAGACACCAGCTCCATCGTCCACACTTCGCAGAAGCTGGGCGAGCCGCCCGTCATCCCTGTCTCGCGGATGTCCTCCATCCCTTCCATGATGGGGGATAAGCTGCCCCCGTCCAAGTCAATGGAGGCTGGGATGGAGACCCCCAAAGTTACCACCAAGGGCAACTACATTGAGGTGCGGACGGGCGGCGGGGATGCGCTGGAGAGAGCCCAGCGGGACGATGATCTGCGTGAGCTCGACAACGGCCAGGGCTCGGCAGCTGAGATCTCCACCATCGCCAAGGAGGTGGACAAGGTCAACCAGATCATCAACAACTGCATCGACGCCCTCAAGTTGGACACGGCCTCCTTCCTGGGAGGAGGGAGTGGTGTCGACTCGGACATGGCATTTGAGTGCCAGTCCATCCCTGCCAGCTCCTCGGGTGGGCTGGAGCGGCCCGGCTTCCTGTCGCCACCCTACAAGGAGAGCTCCCACCACCCCCTGCAGCGCCAGCTGAGCGCGGATGCGGCTGTGGCCAGGAAGACCTGCAGCGTCTCATCCAGCGGCTCCATCAAGAGTGCCAAGGTCTTCAGCCTTGATGTGCCCGACCACCCACCAATGAGCAAGTCAGATTCCAAGTACATCGAGAAAGGCAGCCCACTCAACAGCCCCCTGGATCGTCTTCCCCTGGTATCCCCAGGTGCCATCCACCACCTGGAGGTCAAACCTTCCTACCATTGCAGCGAGCACCGACATTCCTTCCCGGCCCTGTACTACGAGGAGAGTGCTGACACCCTGAGCCAGCGGGTGTCGTTCCTTAAGCCTCTCTCCCGCTCCAAGCGGGACTCCACGTACTCGCAGCTCTCCCCCAGACACTACTTCTCGGGCTACTCTTCCAGCCCCGAGTACTCGTCCGAGAGCACCCACAAGATCTGGGAGCGCTTCCGGCCTTACAAGAAGCACCACCGGGAGGAGGTTTACATGGCGGCTGGCCACGCCCTGCGGAAGAAAGTCCAGTTCGCCAAGGATGAGGATCTGCACGACATCCTGGATTACTGGAAAGGAGTCTCCGCTCAGCAGAAGTTGTGACTCTCTGTTTAAAAGGAAAGAAAAAAAACCCAACAACCACCAACAGAAGAACCACTTGACTGTGAACAAAAACCGAACAGGCCCCTCCCGCCATGACAAAAACGAACCGAGAACCGTTTCTTACAAAGTTTACAAAAAAAAAAAAAAAAGGCAAACAAAAAACAAAGTCCCGCAATGAATTGTCTCTCCTGTGTTATGGGGACCACTGTTCCTCCTGCAGCTGGTTGGGAGGAGCTGCCTGCTTTGACACTGTGGTAATGATGCTGACGGGCTAGCGGGAGGGAAGGACGAAGAGGGGGTTAGGCATGGGCAGGGGGCAGAGAAGGATGCTAACCAGCCCTAGACTAAACCACTAACCATCGCTTTTATGTTCCTGTTGTTATTTTGTTCCAGATGGTGGGGGGGTTTTAAGGATGGGAGTGGGGCTCCTGCTTGCTCCCTTGGGGGAAGCCCCCACCAAGAGAAAATGGGGGATGTCACAAAACAAAGAGCCCCTCCTTGGCATTTTAAGGGTTTGGGGGTCTTCAAGGCTTCCTTCCACCCCCCCAAGACTTGTGGGGTTTGTACAGACTCTAGCATGTAACTGGAGGCTCTCTCTCTTTTTCTTCCACCTCGGACTCCATTAGGGTTCCCTGAGCTTGGTTTTGGGTCTCCTGGCTTGTGGCCACATCAGCCTCCCTTGTTCACTGAGGAAGGGAGGTAGGGCACACAGCACAGGGCTCTACCCGCCACTGGTGCATTTCAGAAGAGAGGTCACCGACTTTCTAAGACCCCGGGGAACCCCTCACCCCCACCCCCAGCCGAACAGTCCAGTTGTCTTCCAGGAAATGCTGGGGAGCATGTTCTCTGGCATGGCAAAGTGGGGTTCGCTAACGGCAGGGCGATGGGGGAGTGGGGAAGAAGACGGGAATTCCCAACTGCACTGAGATCTGAAGGGTTCCCCCTCTCACCCCCACCCCTGCCCTGCCCCAGAGCTGGGGAGGGGCACACGTCTCCCACCTCCTTCATTTGTGCTGCAGGTTCTGCACCCCCCCTTGTGCTTCGTGGGGGGAGAGGGGGGATCAGACCCTTGAGGAGGGCCTAGGGGAGGAATAACAGTCACAGGATGCTCCTATGCCTCCTCCCACCCAGCTAGACCAGAGCAGGGCCCCCTTCTCCCTGGGTGGGAGGGGGTAGAATGAGTGGATGGGACCGGGGACAGCTCTCTATTGCCCATTACACTGGATGTGTAAAAAGATGAGTCTGGAGAGGACAGTGTGGGGGACCTGGATTCCACACGAATAGGACACATGCACCTCCCACAGATAGGCGAGAGCTTGGAGAAGAGGGGGTAAAATATGGGAGGGAGGGAGAGAGAGAGTGTGGGGAATGGCCAGGGGAAAGAGGTTACAGCCCAGGAGATTGGTTCTGAGGCAAGGGGAAGGGGGGAGCAGCCTTGGGGGATGATTTCTTGGGCCCTCCCTTTGTGGGCTCTGTCATGGAGGTGGTGTTGGGATGGGAGAGTTATCTGCTCCTGGGCTGAGCTCTTTCCCTGCCCTCTGCAAAACTCCCAACAGGCCTCCTCCTCCTCCTCCGTATTGGGCTGGTCCTCTGTGCCACTTGCCACGGTGCCCACCCATCAGAGGGAATCCCCAACGTGCCTACAAACCCCACATGCCCAGCCTGCTCCCCTCCCCGCACTGCTCCCTGCGACTTGGGCCCTAGCTCCCCGCCAACTGGGGAGAGGTGGGGAAGGGGGCTACAGCCCACTGCCCTCCCTTCCCCCTGTCTGAAGAAACCAAAAGCACAATCTTTGGCACCCACCAAATCCCCGGCCGTGTCCTTTATTGGGGAGCCTGCTTGCAGGGTGGGGGTTGTTTCAAGTCAGCTGGCCACCCCTCTCCCCAACCTTTGACAATCTTTCCCCTTTCTCAGGTGGGAGCAAAGCAGAGGCCGAGGTCTCCCCTCCCTCCAGTCCAACACTGAGCTTGTCTCTCCAGGGGGAGGCTGCATTGTGGCTGGCTCCAGCCTCTGCCCCAGGCCATGCACAGAGCCTGGGAGGGGGGCATTCCCTCTGAGGAGCTGCTCAGAGCCCAGGGGATGGTCAGAGGCTCTGGCCGCGTTGCAGGGTTGGGGGGCAGGGGAGACAAGGATATAGGGCCCGGGTATCTCTCCACACTGGGCACAGGTACCAGTATCTGTCAGACAGCTTGGATCCTATTAGCAGGAGCTAGTTAGTATAAACAGATTCTCACATGCGGCGGTGGAGTAGCCCTGTCGGTCCTGGGATGGGAGAGAGCCAAGGTGGGTGAGGTAACAGCTTTAATCGGACCAACTTCTGTTGGTGAGAGAGACCCGCTTTCGAGCCATCGACCTCGCCCGCCTAGTCTTGTCAAACCGAGTCTTGGCTATTCGTGGGCAACAGCACCATCCAGTGACTGGTGTGGTAAATCCCAGGGGATTATTTCCTAGGAGCTCGCAGAGTGTATTCCCTATGGAGATTGTTGGGAAGGGATCCCAGGGGTATAATCCCAAGGAAGGGCCTAGGGAAGGGATCTCGGGATATAGTCCCCATGACGATTCCAATGTTAAATATCCTAGTGCAACCCCAGGCTCGTGTTTCCTCAGACCCCTTTGCTTGTCAGCGTGCAGCATGGGCTCTTTGGCCCTGCGCTGACCCTGGCCGCAGCACAGCCCTTCTGCCCCCCGAGCTTGAGTAGTGAGGGGAAGGGTGAGTGGGGATCTGGGGTTCAGACCTACTCCAGGGGGCTCATAAAACAAGTGAGCCTGCAGATGAAGGGAAGGGGTCAGATAGTGCTGACTCCCATCATTTCAGGAAAGGGTGAGGACCTGGTGGGGGACTGACGGGACTGAGTCCTGTGTATACCTTGTCCTGTTATGTTTCCCTCCCCTCTGCTTTTCCTCAACGGTACTGCCAGTGCCTGGGAAGTCCCATAAGCTATTCTACATAGCCACATGGTGTGGGGTGAGCTGGGGTGGGGGTGGGGGGGCTGTACTTTGCCAGGATCTCAGCTCCCATTCCATCCCCCAGGGGAGGAAAGGAGATGGAGAATAAGGGGGGTGGGTGAAGCGGTGGGGGGCTGCTGCTGGTCTCCTGGAAGGAGAAACTCCTCCTGTTGCCTGGGGTGGGGTTGGGGGTGGGTTTGAAGGGGTGTGCAACCCAAGCTCCTGCCCCACAGTGACCCCCAGCCTTGTGGGGGGGGGGGAGGTTTGCACAAGAGGACTGTTCCGAGGGGATGGGAGGGGGAACAGCCCGCCCCTCCTCCCCGCTGCTGGCTGGCGAATGGGAAGGACCGCCAGCGAAGTACACACACCATGACTGAAATGAGCAGATCTAACCTTATCTTTGCATGATGATTTGACTGTATTTTTCTGAGCAAACACCTGTTGTGTATGTGCCATTCTTTGAGATTTAACCCCCTTTCTCTCCCTGGTCCCTCCCCTCCCCACCTTCACCCTGTTGTGATTGGACAAGAGACTTAAGATCTCTGGAGGGAGCGGACGCCAAAGAGAACCCAAGCCAGGTGCCCGAGCTGAACGATGCCCCAGCCCTTCACGCTGCAATATCCATCCCCCTCACCCTATCCCCCACAAGTTTCCTAGCTCCTGGTTAGGGTAGTGGCTACCTCATGGTCAGGTGTGATGGGCCTGGCCCTGCAGCCCTTGCTCACTCTTGTGGTCGTTAGCCCCTCCTCCTTCGACCCCCACTGTTGTCAGTAGAGCCACTTGCATGAGCAAGGCCCCCAGCCTGAACCCATGAGTGAGGCCAGTCAGTGGAGAGACAGAGTCTTGGTTTGGGGTGCCCCAGCTTTGGGCACCCCTCTGATGTCTTCAGGCCTGATCTCTGAAGTCAATGGAAAGACTCCTGCTGACTTGAGTGGGCTTTGGAGCTGACCCTTTCCATCCCCCCCTCAGATAGCTGGCAGGGTGGAGCTTGGATGGGGGGCACTGTGTGGTGGAACTGCTAATGCCTTTGGGATGGAGGGGTGTGTTAAGGGGGCCACCCTGAGTCTCCTGCCCTGTCTGGAGTTCCTGGACCTCCAACTGCCAGGCTGTGAAACCACTCAGAGGAAAGGGTTTTCTTGGGGCAGACTCAGAGCCTGAAGCTTATGGCTAGTTTCTTGCTTTGTTTCTGTGCTGGTGGAGAGAACCCAGGATTCGTTGCAGGGATGACAGGAATCTCCGATCAGTTGGCTGGAGCAGAACTGGTTTCCTGTGCCATTGGGATGGATGCTGGGTGCAGCCCCCCGGGGAGAAGGGGAAGTACTTGAGCTGGATTCCTGTGCCCCTGGGAGGGACTCTGAACCTTGAGTGGATTGCTGTTCCCCTTGCAAGAGAGGCTAGGTTCAGCCCCCACTTGTGCTGTATAATACTCATTCCTCGCTGCCCTGCGTCCTATGTCGTACAATTCCTCCCCAGGCTGCTGTGAAATATTCATGAACTACAAATGAAAATTAATGTCAAGAAATGCTGGCTGAGGCGGTGTCCATGTGTTTGCAATGCTAATCAGCGCCCCTGCCCGCCAGAGCCTCTCTGAGGCAGCTCGCAAGGAGAAGGGGCACAGGGGAGCAGGGGTGGGCAGCAGAAAGCAAGAGGAGGGATGGATGGGCTCAGAGAGGAGCGAGGGATGGGATGAGACAAGAGAGGGAGAGAGAGATGATAAGGGAAGGTGGCAGAGCGGGAGGTGGGGGAGTTGGAGCAATGGAGAGGAAGTGGAAGAGGGAGACAGGACAATGGAAAGGAGAGAAAAGGGTGGGGATGTTGGAGAGGAGGAAGCAGGTGGGGGCAGGGGAGAAGGGTGAGGTTGACAGAGAGGAGGAGGAGTTCGGGTGATGGAGGGGAAGGGCAGTTACAGTATACAAAGGGAGGATAAAGGAGGAAGGAGGGATGGCAAAGATGTAGAGATGGGACTAGGGGAGGAGTGTCGGGTGGGTAGAGGAAGTGACAGAGGGCTGGGATGGACTGTGGAGAGGAGAGAACAAAGAGGGAAGAGAGAAGAGGGGATGGAGGAGACTGAAGTGACTGAATGGAGGAGCAGATACGATGTCTGAGAGGCAGCGGTGGATGATGGGATGACAGAGGAGTAGTACCGAGGAGGCTGGGTCGATGGGGTGGCTCTGACCCCTCTCTGTGGGTACTGTGCCACATCCTCGTAGGGCTGGATACAGGCAGCAGCGTGGCAGGGAGCTGGCACTTAGAGCAATGGGCCAAGTGGGGCAACAGTGCGCGTCACTGGAAGGCCAGCCCAGTCAAACCATGGCTAGAAGCATATCTTGGAACACTCCCCCTCTGTGGATGCCTCCGCTGGTGAAGATCCTCCCATCTAGAACCTGTCAAGCGCAGCTCCCACTGCCTCAGCCTGGGATGTAGGGAGTTCCCCTGCATAGCTCAGCATGGGGAGTGCATAGCGAGTCCTGCTACCCAACGGGAGGCACCTTGGGGTGGCCAACCAGTGCCTGGCACACATGAAGCTGCCCAGGTTTGTAGGACATCCGTTCCTGGCCAATGGCATCCCAAGAAACATGGGAACACAGATTTGAAAATGAGCTCCTCACTCTAGCAGAGGGAGGTGTAACACGATCCAATGGCTGGAAGTGGAAGCTCGACAAATTCAGACTGGAAATAAGGCATACTTTTTTGACAGCGAGGGTAATTGACCATTAGGATAACTTACCGAGGGTTGTGGTGGATTCTCCATCGCCGGCCATTTTTCAATCAGGATTGGCTGTTTTTCTAAAAGATCTGCTCTAGGAATTAGTCTGGGGAAGTTCTCTGGTCTGTTATAAGGAGGGCAGGCTACATGATCACAGTGGTCCTTTCTGGCCTCAGGATCTATGTCTCTATGAACAAGGCAAGCTATTGGTGGTGGTGAGTGGCTTGTTCTTAACTCATCTCCCCATGGGGATCTGCTGTCTTGGAAAATCGCGTCTCTTCCCTTCCCTCCCCCGGAGGTTTCTGGCGTTTTACCCCAAGAGGGAAGAGTAGAGGCTGTGACACATTGAAGTCTCTTGTGGCACTTGCCTGTCTCTGTACCTTGCTCCCACCAGACCACCTGCCCCCACACAGCCAGGGGCTGTCTCTGTGCTGCTCCCCCCAGCCCTCTCTGGGTGGGATGCCTCCATCTCCTCTCCTTTTCCTGGAAGGGATGGATTTCCCCTTCTCCTCTGCTCCCTCCTTCCTCCCATCAGGCCGCACCATCATAGGGACACTTGACCTTTGCCTACACTTCCCCACCCCACATGAGGCCTTGCTCTCAGGTGACCCCTGCTCTAGAAATCCTACTTCCTCTGCTCCTGGGCACACTGGGGAGAAGGCTGGTTGTGAGGGGTCAGCCCAGCTCTCCCACCCCCATGGCTTTGTCACAGGAACAACACCAGAGGGCCAGAGAAGGGCAGAGAGCCAGCGGTTCCCTCTCCAGTGCCCACCCCATGTGTCCCTTGAATGTAATGCAGATCCGGAGGCAGCTGCCCAGATTGGTTCCTCGCCAGCAGCTCCTGTCCCTCCTCCTGTAACGACCCTGTGACCCTTGGTTGTGTATGGACACATTTGATTTTTATCTTGTTTTTATTTTTATCCCCTCCCCCCTTATTTTAAACTGAATGGCACGAAATCGTTTTTCCTCAACTCGGAGATTCCTGTATGGAGAAAATCAATTTCTATATTTGCAATAAATTTCTTATAAAAAAAAAAGCAAACAAAAAACAAACAAAACGAATTGAGCAAGTCTGTGTCTGAGTCTGCTTGTCTCTCACCGCCTGGCTTTCCCCCTAGCCCCCCAGGAAGGGCTCCCTGGAGTGGAATGGAGTTGGGGCGGGGCGCTTCCTGGGATGGGGGAGTGACCATAGGATGCACTGCTGAGAAAGTCGGTGAGGGTGGGGAGTGACTGAAATTAGCTGGGGGACAGAAAGAGCAAGATGAATGGCTGAATTTCCAGCAGTGCTTAGCAGCCAGCAGAGTCCACTGAGAACAAAGGCATGCCCATGTTGCCTCCATCTTTGCTCTTGCCCCGCATCTGCTCCATTTAGCCACTGTCTCTCTCCAAGTCTACCCTGTTTCCCTCCTACGTCCCACCTCCTCCATGTCTTGTTAGCACCATCCTGCATCCTGGTCCTTTCTGTTCCATCCACCCCACACCCAGTTTACTCCCCACTTTGTTTCCCTGCCCCCTGTAACTTTGCACCCCTGCGTTCCAGGTCCGCTCCTGCTGTGTTTCCATGTCCAATTTCTCCAAGGTCTGTGTGTTCTTTAGGGCTTCTCATACTATTCAAATGCATGTGGATTCGATTGCACACATCTAATAGCAGCTTTTGAGCAGCCTCTACTTCCTATCTGTATCAGCAAAAGCAAATGAGCCAGCCCTCAGATGTACAGATTTTACAATCTGGGCTGGGGAGGGAAGTTGGGCCAAACACACTTTCTGCTCCCCCCGATCTCAGGACTGGGGGGGGGGACTGCTGGGGACTGACACCGCTCCCTCCTAACGCAGAGCAGCCTTGGGGATGTTGTACGTTATGCCTTCTGCAGCCAGCCACTACACTGACAGTGTTATGTGCAGTTCTCCGCCCCCCTCTTCCCCAGATAAGTTCCTTTCCTGTCTGACATCACTTTGTAGGGAGGGGGTTACTAGGGCTACAGCAGCTGTGCCTCACTCAGGGATTCCTCTGTGTCAGGAGGAGTCCCTGGCTGCCCTTCTAGGGTACCTGGCTGGCTGTTTTTCTGAGAATTCAACTCTCTACATCACTCTGTACATGTAGAGCTACAAAGGACAGGCTTGGGGAGACCGACTGAGGAGGACTCGAGGAGGTGAGCATGCTCTCGTAAGAAAGAGGAGGCCTGGGTGTAATCAAGGCCCTTTGTACACCACGGAAAGGTGTTACAAGCTGCCTGGATTCTGCATCACTAGTGTAGTTCACGAAAGCTCATGCTCAAATAAATTGGTTAGTCTCTAAGGTGCCACAAGTACTCCTTTTCTTTTTGCGAATACAGACTAACATGGCTGCTACTCTGAAACCTGGTGCAGACTAGGGAGCCTGAGGGATCTATGGCTATTAAATGACACATCTGGGAGGGTTTAATGAATTAAATATAACCATTAACAATCCAGTCAGTACAGTACCCCCTGGCATTTATTTTGAGATTAGATTTTGTTCACGCTGGCCCCACGTTCTCAGTGTCTGGTACATCAGAGGTTTGGGTCAGCATGTCACAGGGTGGCTGGCCCTTTAAGGCGAGATGGGTCTGAGCTGGCCTGTGTTGCCAACCACTCTCCTCCCCAGGAGGGGAAAATGAAGGCGGTCAGGTGACTCAGTGAGGCCTCTGGGGTGGATAAGGAAGACACCTGGAGAGAGCATGGTGGAAGTTGAGGGCTATGGTAGTGGTGATGCAAGGAGCAAGAAGGCTTCTGCAGAAGACTTTGAGCTAGCAGGAGAAGGCTGATTGCCTGTTGCCCTGCCCTGGGACCTGGCCTCCAAGCCCTGGCAGCAGGTAGGCAGAATGCAGTGCATTGCAGTGTTGCCATTTCTCTTGATTGTTTTTTTCCTTCTCACCAGTGACAGGATCTGGGCAGGGGCTGACCAATCTGGGATGGTATGGGAAGCTCCAACCCCCTAGGGAATTTGAGCCCTCTGATTTGCTGCTGGCCTTCTGGGACTGGGCAATGGATCAGAACTGCTACAGGCAGAGCTCTCTGTCTCTCCCCCTCCCCTCAGCACCCCAGTGCTATGCTGGCAGGAGGGGATGCAACGCAGAAAGAGTAAGAGTTCTGCAGCACGGGGGGCTTTGTTCCTACCCCCTCCCCTCCTGTGAGCAATGGGGACAGGACAGTTTCCCCCCTTTCCTCTCTCCCTGCACAGCCCTCAGCCTAGGAAGGGGTAGAGGAATGAAGGGCCCCTGGATCTGCCCCCTTGCTTGGTAGGGGGAGAGGGGACCCTGCTGCAGCCCCCCCAGGCCTGGGAAAGGAGGGTGAAGAATCCCAGGAGGAGCAGAGGTGAGCTAGGGGGGCTGAACTGGAGGAGGCAGGAGCTGATGGGGGCAGAACTGGGGATGGAGGAGGCTGAGGGGGTTGTATTGACGGAGGTGCTGAAACTAGGTGGATGGGGACAGAATTAATTGCTGGGCAGGGGATGGGCAGATATGGGGTGAGAGCTCCTGCGGTAGGGGCTGAAATCCTGTTACGCGGCAACATTGGGAGTGTGAGCAGCACTGTCATGCGCACGGTGGGCGAGGGGAGTTTAGAAATCGGACACAGACCAGAAACAAACCCCACAATTTAATCCCCAAACCCCCCAACTCATGAATTTTGGGGGGAGTCCAACTCCTGACCTTTGATCTCCTGAGCATGGAGACACTGCTGTACCCCAGCAGAGATGCTGCGGAGGAAGGACTGTTGGGAAGGCTTGGCTTTGAGTTCCATTTGTTTTGACAGACTCTGTGGTACCAGTCCAGATGGAGCCAGAGGCGAGTAATTGGAGGGCAACTGGAAACTGTGTAAGGGCTTAATAAACTGGACCCCAGAAGCGGAGTCTTGTTTTTGAATGCCTTGGGCTGTGGTGTTTCTAAGGAGCCCTGAAGAGAGGAAATTCAGGCAGAGGTGCTGCAGGGCCACCCCAGGCCTTGAGGGTGTGTGCTGGAGGCTGTGACTGTTACAAGGGAGACCCTATAAACTGCATGGTAAAAGCTACCGGGTGGTTTTGGTAACCGCGTAGGGGGCAGTCATGGCTTGTGGCACCCAGGAAGGCTCTGGAGTCACTTTGGGATTATGGGGTGAGCGCATGAACCAAGTGCTTCTGCTAAATGTTCAGCAGTGAACCAGTCACCAGTGCTAAATTGCCATTGTTTGGTTCCAGGGGGGAATGTATAATCCAGTTGAATTCGGTCGTCTCAGCTACTGTTTCAGGCTGTCTGCAGACTCAGGAAGTCATTGTTGCATCGGGCTAAACTCAGTTCCTGTTTTCAAGGGTATTTTCATGCCACGAGGGCTAGAAACGTACCAAACACCAGAATTTGTGTCTTTTTTTTTTTTTTTTCCCCCCGGCAAGGGGCGGAATCAATATTAGCAAGTCGCATGGCTGCAGATTACACAGGCCCTTGGCTATAATGTTGTGTGCAATGTGCTGGGATGTGTGCAGTGTTGCCCTCTACTGGCTGGAATGTATCAGGCCTGGCAGTGCGCCCCTGTCTGTCTGGTGTCTAAAGCCCGCGGAGATAGGTTTCACTCGTAAGGCTGCAGAATCTTCAGGGTGTGTTTCAGTGGAACGGCAATAAGACGTGGGGCCCGCGATCAGTTCCACTCCATGCTCAGACAGCAGCAGCTACCAGGGCCAGCCCTGCGTAGCTCATTGGCCGGGCTGGAAAATATTTTTGGCACCCTCCCAAATGGCTGAGTAAAAACTAACCCCCCCGCCCCCCCTGGAAGTTGGCACTGAGGCTGGCTGCCTTGATTACATGCCCCTGAGACTGGCCCTGCCAGGTTTGGTACCCTCAGCTGGTTGTTTAGAGGCCTACAGGAAATGGGTGGGTATTTCAGCTCCTTGGGAACTCACAGCCACCCCACCAGCAGCACTAACTGAGTCCCTGGCAAGCAGAAACGGAAGCCAAAGATTAAACTGGTCAAGGAGACTGAACTGCCCACTGAAGGCTGAGACACATCAGTGGAGCAGAGGGATGCTTGCCATGTTGTGCTAGCTCTGGGGATACAGAGAGGGCTGCCAGGCAGCCTATATAAATATAAGGGACTGGAGGGGGAAGGGATATTTCTGGCCCAGGGCTCTAGTGTGGGAAGAGGTCTAGGTATAGCCTTGGTTCTCTGCCCTCTAGAGGGGACTGGAGGTGTACACAAAAAACAAATGCACACAACAGCCATTTTCAGCAGAGGACCGAGGAGTGATCCTGCCAAATAAGGAGGGTTACCATACATCCGTATTTTCCTGGACATGTCCAGCTTTTTGGTTCTTAAATCGCCGTCTGGGAGGAATTTTTAAATATCTAAAAATGGCCGGGATTTTGCCATTATTTTTCTTCAAAGAAGAATTGATCATTCAAGAAAGAGAGTGAATGTTGATCACTTGAGAGAGTGCCCGCTTTTCCCCACTTGCTCCCAGTGCTTGCGCCATGAAACAGCTGTTTCGCGCCGCTGGGAGGGAGGGGGGAGGAGGAGGAATGTGGCATGCTCAGGGGTGGAGGTGGGGCTGGGGGGGATTTGGGGAAGGGGTCCAATGGGGCAGGGAGGGGGTGGAGTTGGGGCGGGGACTTTGGGGAAGGGGTTGGAATGGGGGCAGGGAAGGGGTGGAGTTGGGGCGGGGGGCCACAAGCAAATCTCCTCTCTTCCCCCCCCCCCCCCCCGGTGGAGTGTCCTCTTTTTTGAATGTTCAAATATGGTAACTCTAAAATAACTACCTGTATTGGTCTAACTTCTATCCCCATGCAGCAAATATTGGTGGGGGTGGGGAAGAAATCCCTAAATATCTAAAGGGAATGGGGACTGGCTGATGAAAGGAAGGATGGTCCAGTGGTTAGAGGCCAAGCTTGAGCTGGGGTAAATCTGGGTTCAATTCCCTGCTCTGCTGTAAACCTCCTGTACGATTCTGGGCAAGTCACTTAGGCCCACAGCCTCAAAGGTATTGTGCCTTCATTCCCTATCTGCCCAATAGGGAAGTGCTGTTATTCCCCATCTCCCAGGGAGCTGTGAGGAGAACTACCCTGCCTGGGGGATGCTCAGA